CCCCACTTTCAATTTAAACCCATTACCCCTTGTCCTGTCACTACAGGCTCTTGTAAAAAGTCCCCCCACCCCAGCTTCCTTGTGGTCCCTTCAGGTACTGGAAGGCTGCAATGAGGTCTCCCCGTAGCCTTTTCTTCTCCAGGCTGAACAAGCCCAACTCTCTCAGCCTTTCCCCATAGCAGAGGTGCTCCAGCCCTCTGAGCATCTTCGTGGCCCTACTCTGGACTTGCTCCAACTGGTCCATACCTTTGAAGGCATCTATCATCTTCTCTATGCTACTACCTAGAAGCCATCTACTTCTCCCTATAAACATTACCATGAGAATGGTTACCATTTGAGCTCTCCCCAAATTGCAGCTGCACGCCAGGTGACTCTCCCCTTGACCAGGGATGCCTCGCAAGGTTTGTGTTCCCTTACTTCAGACTGAAAGGTCCTCCCTTACCTGCAAGATATTCTCGGTAAGTGACTGACAATATGCTGAATTAACACTAATGAAACATCATGAATAAATGTAGCTACTCAATTATTATAAACATTGAATAGGTAATCCCATTAGGCATTAACCATTTTCCAAATCTGAGACTAAGGTTGGACCTAGCCATACCCAGGCTCCCTCAGGAGTCTGGAAATCAAAAGGCTCCACTCCGAACCTCGTGACAAGAGGGTCACCCTTGGTCTTTGCCTCTCCGGTCTCTGTGTGAATCATCCTAAGTCAATCCTAACTCAATTTTTCTTTGTATGTTTCTTCCATGAAGTAATTAACAAGGTGACCTTTGCCATCAAATTTACTTCACCTTGTCAAACCACTGTTAAACTCTGTTAAATTCCATCCAATTTATTGAACTCTGTCAGATTACTATTTTACCTCAATAAAACTTACCGCTGCGTTTCTCTTCTGAGTGAGGTGCATTCCACTCACCTGCGACATTAGCCTCCTCTCAGTTCTCCGCCCCAGATCACTGGTGCGGTTGTGCCAGTTGATTGCACTTGGTAATTCCAGTAGGGACTGGAGCATGGGGTGGGGAATGAGAAAAGCACCCTCTTCCAGCTACTTGCTGATAGTGGTGACTGCAGAGCAGCAGATGGGATACAAATCTATCCAGGTTCTGTTCTGGGGAGTAGGAAAGGAGTTTGCAATTTCTGTTGAGTCCCTGCTGCCTGCTGAGGATGAAAGGTGGCTGCCTCAGAAAACTGAGTGCTCACTCCAGACCTGCCTCTGGCTTTGCCAGGATGTGTAAATAAAGGTTAACTATTTTCCTGCCTACCAGCACAGAGTATTGAGTAGCACATCTACTTCAGTACCTCAGAAATCTACTTTCTTTCCTGTAAGGGTTAAACAACGGGCAAAGTAAGCAAGTGACCAAACAGGACTAGGCTTGTGACCTCTAGAGCTCTGGAATGTGTCGGGTAGCTCCCTGCAGCACATGCAGCATTCTGTGCATGGCCAAACTTCCTTACTGCCATCTGAGGTTGCTTGGCCCTGACTATCTCACAATCTTCACATGGCTCAACGGTCTATGTGAAGAGTTTTGTCATGTTTTAAACAAGGCAACAGCAGGGAATAGAGCTGGAAAACCTGTTGCATATACTGCTATGGATCATTGCCCTGTCTTTGGGCATTGCTCAGAGAGTTCACAGTCAGATCTGAATCAGACTATACCCACAGTGAAAAAAAAAAAAAACCCAAACCCCCAAAAAAACCCAAGCCCCAGACCACCCAGAATAATGAACTCTTGCAGAGGCAAACAGCAGTGCTAGCACATGAACATGCTGATGTATCGTTTGATACTCAGAACTGTTCAGATGGCTCACACTTCTTCATAGATTACCCAGAAACTAGACATTTCCTGTGGGATAAGAATGGGACTGCAATTTCTGTAAGCAGCAAGTTGCTAAACAATGCTTTTCTCAATAGGTAATCACTCTGTGAATTAAATTGGTGGGGGAGGAAAAAAGCTTACTTTTTTTGTGAAACAGTGTATGTTTCTGAACACAGTTGTGATGGTAAGCTCAGTGCCTCGCTTTGAAACGCTGCGCTGACATTTATGCTGTTACACACATACGGCCGTACTCCTGGAGGAGCTTTCAGCAGAGACACCGTCTTTGTGGCCTGCTATTTGGATCAATATACCAACTCAATAATTACCTTACATTTTGAGCTGTCTGCACCAAAATGTGTTTGCTTCCCCAACGTAACTAGTCAGATGCCTCATTTTACGCGAAAAGGTTTGCTTCTGGTCTTAAAAAAATAAGTGTTTAGACACTGAGTCATGTGAGCCAAAGCAGATTGCATCTTCTAGAACTGTTGCAATCAAGTGACACATAATTGTCACCTTTGGCTACATTGCACAGAAACCATTATAAAATATGACCTACCCACACGAACACCTCACCAGTCTTTGAAAACTCAGTTAGCTTTGAAACAGAAAACCTTTGCACGCTGTAGAGTATACACAGAGGCAAGTACTTCCCTACTCCAAAGGACAGGCTGAATTTCTGTCTGTGCCATGAGCCTGTTCCATGGGTGACCTGCTAAAGCTGTTGGAGACTATGATGAGGCCTATTAAGAAACCAGATAAAAACACAAATTTCACCATTTCTCTGGTTTATGCATACTGACGTATCATGACTCATACGTCTGAAAAATGCCTGTTTATGTCACATAAAGGCCGATTTTTCTATTTATAATTTGGTCTCAGCATGAAATGGTTCATCTTGAACACTGATTTCCACTTAAAGTATTTACAGTTTTACCATCTGGTTACATCTGACCTGGCTAGTTAAACTCCACGTTGTTCTGTTCAAAATTTGAGCTCACAAATTCTAGGGTTTAACTACAACTTTGTTTCACTCGGGCCATAAGGAAGTCTGCTGACTATATATGCAAGCTGCATACCCAGACCCATCACTGCTACCAGAGCCAGTGAGCAGAATAAACACTATACTTGCCTTTCCCAATATTTCTTTTTAAAAGCTTCACAGAAAGTTTTCTAGCAAAACAAACAATGCATACAGGCTAATTTTCAGTTTCATCAAGCATGGTATTCTCACATTTTCCCTTTTCTTAGGGATTCTGTGTATCATTTAATCTTTACCTTAACCAATGAATCTTAACACCCAAAGCCCTGGATCTTACTCAAAACTAAGGAATATTTCCCCTTAAAACCCTGCTTTATTATTCTAGGAAATCCTAATCTAAACTAGGAGTCTCCAAACCCAAAACTACTTGTGAGGTGTAGGAAGCTAAGCTATGTTTGGCTAGCCTGTTGCAAAGAAAACTGTAGCAGAACATTACAAAATTACCTTCTCAGGCTGATAAAAAACAGTCGCCACAACAATGGAGTGAGGAGAATAACTCATTTCTTGCCAAACATTATTGTTACAATGACAGAACCAACCATGCTATTCAGCTGGAAGGCAACAGCATTCATAGGGAATGTCCATTCTGCCCAGACTCCACTGAATAAGGCTGCATTGTTTAAAAAAAATAGAAAGGGTTGATAGATGCCTACCTGCTGGAATAACAGTAATATCTTAGGAAAAGGGGTAAAGAAGTGAGGCAATAATTTCACTAAGCAGTAGTTCTATCAAAGAACACCTCTCAAAAGAAAATTTGGGACTAGGCACTGTTCAGCTAAAGGTAACATTGCTGTAAGCTGTGAAGTATACTCTAAGTCAACTGCTGCTACAAAGCAAAGTTACCATGAACATCTTAAAGGTCAGAAAAAGCCACAAATCTCAAGTCATCAAGAACATATAGCCAGAAATACAACTTGTTACAGCTGAGGAAGATAGCCAGGAAGGCAAAAATCTTAGAAACTACAAAGATTGAATTAGCCATGTATAAATACCATAGCAATTAGCAACTTAGAAATACATTGGAAGTAGTGTAGACCAGCACACCATAAGAACATGCAGGAAGAAATGTCTGTAGAGTAAGTTACTTGAAGCACATCCAACACGCTCACTTAGCGGTCACTAGGAAAAAATGGGGAAGCAAGGTAAACAAGGAATAATCAAAGTATTAATACTTCACCCACTAGCTACTTAAGCCCACCCTGAATATGAAGAAATATTTCAGCTGCAAATGCTGTATTGTGGTAAAGTTTCCAGAAAGACAATATTGCATAAAACAATTCTGAAATTACAAGGAAGTGGAAAAAGTGTGTTCAAAATAATCAGCAAGCTGAATCAGTGTTGAGTGGAGTTTCAGCTGGCAAAATATCCTTTCTGTACAGCTTTGTACCATGAATCCTACCTCAAGAACATCTGACAGAGAAAGAACAACTCAGTAACAGTTAGTATAATGACACTTTAATGAAACATTTAAGTTCTTCCTAAACTGCTACAAAGATACAATACATTTGTAACGTAAGTGTAAAGGCTTGATATTAAAATGAAACAACTTGGTAAAAAATACAGATTAAAAGTAAACCAAAGTTATTACAATCACACTTGTGGATTTCTTTTTTCTTTTCTATTTCTTTTTAAGAAAACCAGCAGTAGTGACTGGCACATACAGACGAAATAAAACACAGTAAGAGTTTTCTTCCTTCACACAGTATTCAGCCAAGTAGCACTGCAATGAACCTTGATTTCATGCATAAGTACAGAGGGGACTTTAAACTCTGCATATGGTACTGATTTCAGCTTTTGTACAGCCCCATTTGCAACACATTCCTGCCAAACCCAGAGATTCTCGTTTTCTTCTGGGATACCTGGCCCAGAGGTAAGTGTTTGATCCCATGGTGTTTGCAATTCCTGCTCCTCCCCTGTCCTTCTGAACAGCTTCCTCTACCTCACGAACAAGTTCTTTGAAGTCGTCTGCCACAGGTACATATTCATTATAGTCATTTAAGCTATACAAGTCCTTAAAGACGTCCCATCCGAGAGCCGGACTGCTCCTCTGCAGCTGCTCCGCTTCAGGACCCAAAATTGATTGCAGCTTGAAGTTTCCCAGTAGCTTGTCACTTGCTGTTCCTGCAGAATCTGTTTGAAGAGAAGACTTTTTTTTTTTTTAGAGTTCAGACTGTAGGAGTATCAAAAGGAGCACGTAGCTCTAAAAAGTAGCAATAAAACCCATTACGTAGTAATAGGCAAAGCACCATTATCGAGGAGAAGTGACCTAGGCCCAGGTCAGTACTGCTGTCTCTCCACCCTGAGATTTACTTAGCACTTACTTTTAGGGGAATCTCTATGTTTCAAAGGCCACGCTGGCTGCTGGGCATGGAGAGTGCATAGCTACTTTTGTTTCAGTCAGCTGGAAGAACATCAGAACACCTACTGAATGTTCTGTTTACCTTAATATGGCTAATTAATATAGAGCAGCTAAACTTTCAGATAGAATGGCTGCCTGAATATGTACAAAAATAAGTGATTGTAGCTACTCTACTAATCAGACAGCAACTGCTATTTAGTAATCTTCTGGCGTGGGGAAGACTGGTGGTTAGACAGCGAGCAGCCCTGGGGGGGGGGGCTCCTTAGTGTCTGATGCTCTCCGACCACACTGCTAGTACAAAGGAGAACAAAGTTTGCTGGGCAAGAACATAACCCCAGCAGAGGCTGTACACGTGTAATTTGTTGCAATTACAGGGGCAACTGTCGTCTACTACCGGACCTGTCGGGGGGAACCAAAAACCAAGACCCAAGCAAAAAACTTCCAAGAAACCCAAAATACTGGCTTCATTAACGGCCTGAGGTCCAACGTTCTTTCATTAACAGTACGTTTAAGG